GCGTAAATCGACGGGGGACAGGGGACCCCCCCCCCCCCCCCCACACACACACACACACATTTTGAGGGGGGACATTGTTTGGTCTCCCCCCCCCCCACTTTTTCTTCCCCGAATAAAAATATTGTAGCCTACAATAATGATTCTATTGCTCAGAATACATGTAGCTGATTCAATTACTCAAAACTCAAACTTTCACAGATGATCTTTTGCTCAAATTGGTTTCAGTGATCAGAAATTGCCTCAGATCACACCACAGAAATTGCTATTCTTTAACTGCATGTCCCCAACTCCCCCCCCCCCCCCCCCCCATTTACATTTAACTCCCCACAATTTCATCCCCAACACTACGCCCTACCCGATCTATGATCGGGTAAACCAGCTTGTTAATAATAATACTAATAATAATACAGAGTCTTACATAGCGCACGTATCTACCAACAATTAGGTACTCAAGGCGCTGGTTATTATGTCTATTATTAAAGAAAGGTAAATAATGTATATGAGAAATATGAGACCCATTATGTACATGTAGCACCTTATAAGGGTTGACAAGGTGCTGCGGCGCATATTGCAGCCACTGCCAGAAACACCGGGGCAAACCCCTTCTCTTAGCGATAAGTGTTACTGGGTTCTTTAACGTGCGTAACACAACAAACGGGACCTACGGCTTTACGTCCATCCGAAAGATGAACCATAATGGTTAAGTGCCTTGCTTAACATACAAGCACCATGTTCCCACGGTCCCAGGATTCGAACCCATGTACCACGGCACACACATCGAACACCGTACCATTGGACCACAGCACAGCACCCCACGTAACCATTGGCCACAGCACCCCACTATATATATCAAAGGGTTTTTGGAATTATTGCCTAATTGTTTTTAACCACATACATCAATGATATAACGGTACATGTTCTGCCTTATGTGTAATACATGGGAAAATTCCATTTTTGCCTGCAGCGTCAACACAAGTGGTGCTGCGCAGTAACCCTTGTTTGGAATTTTATGAATTTAGTATCAAAAGATGTGGCAGACTTTAGGCTACAAAGTCATTAGGCCTTGGGGCGAGAAAAACAATATCCGCAAAAATATCGGGAAGAAAATACAGGCTTTTACATGACTATAGTCGACTACACTCTTTGGTGCGTTATCTTCACTGCGCATGCGCTGGTACGTCACGAACCAACCACTAGTTAACCATTGTCCTTGATCCAACTAGACTCGTTATTGGTACATTATCTTCACTGCGCATGCGCTAGGTACGTCACAAACCAACCACTAGTTAACCATTGGTCCTTGATTCCAACTAGACTCGTTATTGGTACATTATCTTCACTGCGCATGAGCGCTAGGTACGTCCGAACCAACCACTATTTAACCATTGGTCCTTGCTCCAACTTGCCCAAGCTGTGCAACTTCATCTGCAGCATTCAGATATAAACAAGTGTGAAAGTATTAACTTACCATCCGGTGGCATGGCAACAGTGAGTGATGACGTTGTCTGCTGACTTTGGCTGTGGAATCATCTTCTTGTACTATCTCTGGTAGTGACAGACGTTCATGTAACTCGTATTGTCTGTGAGTGTGACTAGACGAGTCATTCTTCCTATACAAAAAAAGCTGCATTTTAAAAAAACAAACCTACAGAGGTCTACAGTGTTGTTCAATGGTGGATCATGCAGATTGGCACATAAAGGGTATAGTTGGCATGCCTATCCAAGCGTAATGCATTGTCCTTTTAAGATGGATTATTCAGTATGGCAAAACCAACATGGGATATATGTCAATTCCTTGGTGTAACACCTTAACCTTTATGACCAGTTCCAGTACTTTGGCTAACACCCTGCTCACTGCTCAATGAAACAACACATAACATGTGCTTGTCAATGCGCCACGCCATTATTGCTACATGTAAGTCTAACCAAATCAATCCAACGGTCTGAGAGTCTGAGCTTGACTTGTCACCACAGTATACATTATTGGATGGGACAAACTCCCATTGTCTCAGAATTGGTAGTTGAAACTTGAATGCTGTTCGTGTTGCTCTGCTCAATACAG